GGATCATGTCCTCGAAAATCTGAAGCCACGCCATGTCCTGCCTGATCACCTCTCCCCAATACTTCTTAGGCCGTCCACTACCTCTTCTCGAACCCACCAAAGCCAACTGCTTACACCTCCTTACCGGGGCATTTGGGCTTCTCCTCTGCACGTGCCCGAACCATCTGATCCTCGTTCCCCGCATCTTGTCATCCATAGGAGCTACGCCCATCTTCTCCCGATTATCTTCATTCCTAATCTTATCCACCCTGGTGTGCCCGTACATCCACCTCAACATCCTCATTTCTGCTACTTTCATCTTCTGTGTTACCTGATCCTACGAAAAGGAAAATAGGATCTAAAACATCTGATTGTATGTTTATTAGGTTTGCTGAAAGTAGTGCAACACATAGATTTTCTTGAACGCAATATTATTGTTGAAACAAAAAATGCTGAATTTTTTGAAGAAAAAAATTCCTTTAAAATTTGAGAATATTTCCGATGCTCCTATTATTCCAAGTGATAATAGTTCACATGTTTTAATTATTCAAAATAATTTTTAAAGTGAGGATTTTAGAAGAAGCAAAAGACTATGGAAAAAAAATTGGTAAAGATTTTTATACTTATCTTGTGGATAATGATCTTTTGACATATTCTGAAGCAATTTCTTCGTCTGATGCCTTATTTTGGAAACAAGCTATTAATGTAGAAATAAATTTAATTTTACAAAATAAAACTTAGATTTTAGTTGATTTACCTCCGGGAGCCAAACTCATTGGTTGTAAATGGATTTTTAAGAAGAAAGTTCCATTGATAAATACAAAGCTAGACTTGTTGCAAAAGGTTTTACTCTAAAGCAAAATGTTGATTATTTTGATACTTATGCTCCTGTAACTAGAATTTCCTCGTGATTTACTTGTCATGGCTTCTATTTATAAACTTTTTATTCACCAAATGGATGTTAAAACTGCATTTTTATATGGTGATTTAGAAGAGAAAATTTACATGGAACAACCTGAGGGTTGTGTAGTATCTGGCCAAGAAAACAAAGTATGTTAATTGCTAAAAGTCTCTGTATTGTCTAAAGCAAGCACTTAAATAGTGGCATGAAAAATTTGATTAAGTATTGATTAATGATGATTTCTCATCAATTGAAGTAGATAAATGTGTTTAACAAAATGTGTAGATGGTAATTGTGTTATTATTTGCCTTTATGTGGATGACATGCTTATTTTTAGTTCTAACCTTGATTTGGTACATAAAACCAAATTTTTTCTATCTTCTGATTTTGAGATGAAAGAAATGGGAGAGGGTAGTGTTATTTTAGGCATGAAAATTATACAAGATGACAATAGCTTGATGTTGACTCAAGAACATTATGTTGAAAGAGTTCTTAAAAAAATTGATAATTATGATGCGGCACCTGTAAGCACTCCTTATGATGCTAATAGTCAATTAAAAAAGAATAAGGGGGATGTTGTAGATTAAAATAAATATGCTCAAATTATTGGTAGTCTAATGCATTTTGATGAATTTTACTAGACCTGATATTGCATGTACTGTGTGTAGATTGAGTAGATATACTCAAAACCCGAGTCATGATCATTGGAATGCATTAGTAAGAGTAATGAAATATTTAAGAGGTACCATGAACTATGGTATTAAATATAGTGGATTTCAAACTGTATTAGAAGGATACAATGATGTTAACTGGATCTCTGATTCACATGAGACAAAATCCACTAGTGGTTATGTGTTCACCCGTGGTGGGGGTGTTGTGGCATGAAAAATAGCTAAACAAATAATAAATAGCTAGATCTGCCATGGAATCTGAGTTTGTGGCATTGGAATTGGCTGGCAATGAGGTCGAGTGGTTAAAGAACCTTTTGGCAAGTATTCCACTAGGAATAAAATCGACACCTTCTGTGTCGATGCATTGTGATTGCCAAGTTGCAATAGTCATTGCTAAAAATAAATCCTTCAATGGGAAGAGTAGATATATTCGATTGAGACACAATGTGATAAGCTGTTGAGAGATGGAATTATTTCCATAGATAATGTGAAGTTAGAAGTGAATTTGGCCGCTCCTCTAACTAAATCTTTGGGAAGAAAATTAATATATGAAACATCGAGGGGAATGAGACTATTGCCAATTTGAGTTATGTCAACAATGATGGTAACCCAACCTGTGTGATTGGAGACCTAATGAAGTATGTTCATATGGGTAATAACAAGTCATTTTGTTGATCAAATATGCACTATTAAATTATGTTCCTTCCTATGGTGTGTATATTAGTGCAAGACTTCAAGGAATGGGAAGCAGAGTTGTCAAACTCTTAATCCAATAATCTGAAGCAGAGTTGTCAAACTCTTAATCCAATAATCTATAGCCCTTTATAGGTGGTACATTGCGCTGCAGGATACACTTGATGGATGGACCTATATGAGTGTGGAGTGAGGCCGCTCCTATAAAATTTATGGCAAAAGATTTCTAGAGCACTCATGAAAACCAGGCGTGCGCATGGCCTATTAGAGCAAAACTGCGATGAACAACAAAGTATGTGCGGGTTTAATGTGATATACTCTCTTCGCCAGGATGTCAGCAGGTTAGGCAGCTCGTCCTTGAGACGCCTCAAGTTAAATCTTATTCTCCGTAATCCAATATTTTTTACAACATGGATTCCCTCTTCAATGGCTGTATGTTGCATGTATAGCTATACTGTATTTTGTTTCTGTATCCAGTATCTCATAGTAGGTTGTATTAATTGTATCCAGTCTCTCATAGGCTTTTCGTTACTGTAGGCTGTATCCAGTCTCTCATAGGCTATATGTATCCCTTAATGTATGGATCATATATGTATTCTGGTTTCAGATATGAAATGTATTTTTTATTCATGTATCTAGATTTGCTTTTCGTTTGTATTTTTCATTCCTATATCTAGATGTGCTTTCCGTTACTGTATTAACTATATCCAGTCTGCTTTTCATTATTGTATTGACTGTATCCAGTCTTTCAGAGGCTGTATGTATCCCTTAATGCATGGACTATATATGTATTCTGATTTCATATATATGGAATGTATTTTTTATTGATACAGTGAAATAAATATATAATTAGCTACGAACGGTAAGTAAACAAACAATAATTACATATGATAATTAGACTCTTACCGATAGTGCTTTATGAAAATTCACTCTTTTATTTTTTATCAAGGTAAGAGTGTCCAAGTGAAATTACGATACTCATGTACTATGGTGACTCTTGTTTGCTGGAAGCTTGAAGAACTATATATATATATATATATATATATATGTTAAAGCTCAAATTAGTTCAGATATTTAGGATCTAACATTTTCTTGTACGCCTCTCATATTCCCCCTTTCCTTCACTTGCAAAGGATGCGTAAGAACTTAGCTTGATTCAAAGCTATCTAAGTAAAGTAAGTAGATGGATACGCAATGTTGATTATAAAAATTAATTTGCCCCATGTTTCTTTCTTAGACAAGTCTCATTGTCAGTACCAAAACTAGAAAATTAAAAGTCGGGAGAAGACTCCCTTCCCACCACGATCGATCTTGGAGGAATTCTAATGATGATCATGAAGCTGATAAGTTAATTTTCGCGATTTTAACTAGAAACAAAAGCTGAAAATAGTAACCTTTTTTTAGAAGCACTTTCGAAACTTTGACCAAATACAAATTGGTGCTCCTATATTATTTTTCAAATTGATTAACCACTGCAATTATTAAATGAGTAAATTTTAAAAAAAATAGAGAAAAAATCCTACAATCGATCGAGTAGAACCAATTTTAGGTTTGGGTCGGGAAGATCAAGGGGTGTTCGTGGGTTGGTACCGTACGGTATTTAGATATTTCGGTTCGGTATTTTCGGTATTCGGTTTCTTAAAATCCTATACCAATACCGTACCTAATTAAATTCGGTATGGTTCGGTTTTTCTCCTTTCGGTTTCGATTTATTCGGTTCGGTAACTTCGGTTTATTCGGTTTGAATACTAACTAGTGCATAGAGCCATACACTCTAATCTTCTTAATTAAAGTACTCAAAAATATAAAACTGAAAATGTTTGTTGACAAAATTTTTGTCCAAAACTATCAAATGTCGACCCAAATAGAAAAAATTATACATAAAAGAATATTTGATCATTAGAAATATCTTGTTACTTGTTTAGAGTTAATTGATTAACTTTGAGAATAAAGGAAAGTAAAATTTTAGATTTTTATTATAATTGATAATATGTGTTTTGTGTAATATAATATATATTTCGGTACGGTATTGATATTTCAGTATTTTATTTTAAAATACCAAATACCATACCTAATATCAAGTTTTTAAAAAAATTTAAATCAAATGCCATACCAAATACCAAAATACCGTATACCAAATACCAAAATTTTCGATTTCGGTACAATAATTCGGTATTTAGCAAATTATGTTCGGCCCTAGGAAGATCTACGAGAGTTTGTTTAATGTCTATTTGGAGGACGTGGTAGTCTTACCTCATTTTCGCTGTTTGTAAGGTTGGAAAGTCCTTTTCCACTTCCTAACTTTTGTATTCTTAGTTTCAGCTTCTTAACCAATTCCTTTCTTCTTACAACCTACTCAAAAAAGACATGGCCAACCAACACTCTCATTATTTTTCTTTATTTTCCTAATCCATTTTTTTTTAATCCTCTTTTTTACAATCCTTCCTCGCTGGAACTGAATGATGCCCATAACTTAGCTGGTAGATAATTACATGAACTTAATAATTAAGTCAATAAGCTGGTTGGATTAGTTTAATTTTCCATTCTTTGAATCAAAATAATAATATGTCTTCTAACGGTAAATTAAAAAAAAGGTTCTCGTTAATAATTTTTCTAAGGTCTTCTATTTTGGCGAAGAATAAAGTATTCATTTCATATAATAAAAAGAAGGAATACAATGCTAGCTTGCCCCACATGAACATATAGATCAATCATACTAATTATAAAAGGATCACAAAAACGTAGATAAGTCGCTATTAATTAATGTTGTCAGCTTATAAAGAAAGCATAGCAATAGTTTTGCCTCCCCTTTTCAATTCTTTAATATATATTGGAGCATAAAGTTGTACTATTAAACTTAATAATAATGGAGAAATGAAAAGGCAGCGCCATCATTCTAAGTCCACTTCTCTTCTTCTTTTCCAACATCTCATCTTCTTCTTTTGAGTTACTTGTATTCATTCATCAGGAACATAGAGATGGATTGTTCAATATGTAGTGCTATGCCATTTATTCTAAGGCCACCAAGAAATACAATATGCGGAGCTTGTTATGAGGGAGCCAGAACTATAATTACCTTGACCAATAGAAATGATCACACCGACAACACCAAAGGAACTGATAATAAAACAGTAGCTGCACTTTCCAATCCTTCTATTAAGGTATCATTTCCTTTTTGGTTGCCTATACAATCTTTTGTTTTGTTTGTTTTTTCAATAACCGTGGTGTCCGAGTTAACTTGTGTGACAATTTCACGGATTACTTGCTCCTAGCGCTCACCAGCTAGCACAAATACCGTATAACTTTATAGGTTTGGACAGATGAAAGAAATCACCTAATATGTATGCTGACAATCTCTGTTCATATATATGTTGTTCATAATCGTTCTTAATTCTGTCTTGGGAAGCAAAGAGAAAACTAAAGAATTTAAGAAATTTATTGTTCTTTGGATGTTGTTTGTGACTCCAAGTCAGAATTATAGATGCCATGCATGTAAGTGACAAAATGGAAAGGGGATTTAAGTTTTTTCTGCTTCTTTTTAATTGTTCTAAGAATTACCCAAAATTAAACCGAGAATCACTTTCTTCTTTACCGATTGGGAATCTATAGTAATTGACCTTTTTGTTCCAACAGGGATTTGTAAATGCGTTGAAATGGGTGAAAGAAATGAAGGAGATGGAGGAGGAATTAAACGACAAACTGAATTATCTAAGTGGGTTTGTTGTTGCCTTCAGAGATCATATTCATACCGATATTTTAATTAAGCCTGGGAATGATGGTCCCTCCATACCAGCACATCGAGCTCTTCTGGTAATCATCTTTTCTTTTCATGAATAATCAATTCCTGTGTATTTCAGGATTAGATTTATATCAAGTACGGAGTAAAAAGCAATACATATAAAAATTGGATAAACAAATAAAAAGAAAATTCTGAATCCAGTATTTTACATATATTCTATTTATAGTTTAAGTTTTATAAATCGTCATATATATCGTGTATGAAATTCTTACACCATGAGATCGATCACCTTTACTTGTTATAATAGGTAACTTATTTTATTTTCAAGGTTACAAATTTCATATTTTAAAGAAGCTTACCCATAAATATCATTTGGTTGACCTCATGGTATAAAAAAAATTCATATACTGATGGAGTATATATATAACTTAAACTGATCATCTATTAATTAATTATAGAGTTCAACTTCTTGCCCAAATGGTTCTAGGCACCCTCAACTAGATATGAAGCCAAAACGAAAAACTGTTAACTGTACTTCATATAATCTAACAGCACTTATTTTACTCGATAACCACTACATTATGCTCAATTACGACATTAATGACAAACATGATAAGACGTCCATTGTGTCTAGTAAAGGATAACCAGTCTCAAAAAACTGTTTAGTAGACTGGATTTACCTTATATTAATAACAGTTTATTTTAAAAAAAGTTACAGTATCAGTGCAAATTAACAGTAAGTACATGACCTTATATCTATGATATATATTTTCTTAAATATCACAGGCAGCAAGATCTGATATATTCAAGAATATACTGGACTCAGATGGGTGCAAAGCTCCACCAAGTGACACAATAACTTTACCTGAACTTAACTACGAGGAATTAGAGTCTCTATTAGAATTCCTTTACAGTGGAGACTTGACTAAAGAGAAAATGGAAAAACACGTTTACTCATTGTCAATTGCAGCAGATAAGTACGAAATCCCCTTCTTGCAGAAATTTTGTGAGCACCAAATGCTTGGATCATTGAACGCATCGAACGCTCTCGATGTTTTAGAGATTTCGGACACTTGTTCTAACCAGTCTTTAAAGGAGACATCGTTAAACTTCATTGTTAAGAATATGGAAGATGTTGTTTTTACAGCTAAATTTGATGCATTTGCACTCAAGAATCCTCATCTAACTGTACAGATTACAAGGGCTTCTTTTATAGACATTAAAAATAAAAGGCTTGGTGTTTGATTTTTTATATTATTTCTTTGTTTGTTCAGTTAATTGTATGCTATACAAACACCTCCAAGAGGTTACATGAGAGAAGAAAATTGGAAATAACATTGTTTCCTTGTTACTTTTATAATTGGAAATCTTACATAAATGTCCTAAATAAGTCACAACTTACCAACCACTAGCCATTAATTATAGACTTACCAAAACTAAGCAAGCATGTATAAAAATTAAAAATTCAAATAAAAAAGTTCTTTCTCTCCAAAAATCATACGCAAAGATCTCCTTCCATATTTTTAACTTTAAGCGTGATTAACATCATTAATTAGATGCAAGATGGGAAGAAAATTTTTTTCTCTCCAAAAATTACACGCAAAGATCTCCTTCCATATTTTTAAGCGTGATTAGCATCATTAGATGCAAGAGGGAAATGAATTTAAAAGGGTGAGGTAGCACATATATATATATATATATATATATATATATATATATATATATATATATATATGATTCCAAAAGCTTAAGCAAAAAAAGACTTTCTTCAACGGGTAAGGTTGAAATTCATTGAAAATATATAGATGAGTCGATATACAAAATTTGAGGAAGATTGGAGGTGATTTAGGCTGACTTGGTATCAAAATTCGTAGTTAAAATCGATTTTAAAAAATTCTTCGACGACATGTATCACGCATGTATCTCACACAAAGGTATACATGGATATACATGTGATACAAATATGATACATATGTGATACACAAATGATACACAGTGTGATACACATATCATTTTTTTTTCGACGTTCATCTTCTACTTCGAATTTTTATTTCAAAGCACCTCAAAACTACATCAATCATCTCAAAACTGAGATTTAAGCTCCTTAAGATGTACCCAATCTATTCTAATAACAACCACTCAAAAGAAAGTAAAACTTTGACCTATTTGGCTACAAATAGCTAATTGTCTATTATTGATAATATTTGGCTAATATTAGTAATGTTGTATGAATTGACCAATTTTTGTAATAAGCTACTTAAAAATGGACACAGCTGGTAGTTTCCTTTTATAATTTCTTCTTATTTTAGATATTGGCCCGATAAATTATGCGCGCGATGGGCTTGAAGGTATTGTTCTTCAATGTTGGGCCTTAAGCCATACCATAGGCCATGAAGTTAATTTGCTGCTCAGGCCCAAATTCCTTTTGGTGTAGTGTTAGACCCTTGACAAAGCTGATCAGCAAAGCGGCGCGGCAGTGGCAAGGATTTGGCATGATGGCCTTGCCATTGGCCTATGTGCGGGGAAAATCAACATGCAAGACAATGCGGGTGTTGTCAATGGCAACAAACTGTTGCAAGGGCAAGTCTGACGGACAACACTTCTATTTGAGGGCTATGGTGTGACGGACTACACTAAAACATGAGTGGGTTGCGTGCAAGAAAAGGCCAAGACCTTGACGGAACTAGGCGGGCTGGACGGAAGCTTGACAGGCAAAACGGGAAAGACCTCGGCGCTAAAATGGGGCGGCTTAGTGCCAAGGCAGTGGCATTGGCAATGTGATGTTGCCATGACTTAGGTGAGCGAGCTGACACCTAAGGAACTCGTGGGCAAACGACTTAGCAAAGGGAATGGCATCATGGCTTGGTGACTTGATGCTAAAATCAGATTGGCATTGGCGAAGGGCAGACTTGATCAAGTATAGGCGACTTGACATAACCAAGCGACCGTGGCAGCGGACGTGCGCGCGGCTAAGTCATGGGCGACAAGTTGTGGTAATGGCATTGGGGCGGAGCAGTGTCAAAGGCCAAGGCTGGGCGCAATGCCTGCCTTAGGCGTGCAGCAGCTGGCCAGAAATGTGCACATGCAGCGCACATGGAGTGGTTTTCAAGTGTGCTGTGCACATGCTATACAGTGGGGCGGTTACAACTGCCCTTGTCCAAGAGTTGCTGATTACAGGATAAGTCTATGCACATTTTTAGGCATGTTCTAGCATGACATGCACGTTTTTTGATCATGGGGATCATGTCCTATCAGTTGGGGGTGTCAACTGAAAATAGGAAAACTGTTTTTGGGCTGACTACACTATATATATGTGTGTTAGCAGCCCCAAAAACGGGCTAAGTACCTAGGGAGGGAAATAGCAAAAGATATAGGCATAGGGTTGTCTATGTCAAGGCTTGAGCATGGCAAAATATGTGCCATTGCCTTGCCAAACGAGTGGGCAGCACGAGACGCCTTAGGCAGGGGCCTTTATAGGGCAGATTCGTGCACGTGTCGACTATTTTTGTGAGTTGGTGCCTGCCAAGGGTGGCAGCACCTTGCCAAACTCGAGAATTTCCTTTGTAATTGATTTATAAAAGGTTGGGAAAGGGTTCTCGTAAATCTGCTTGTGTCCTTCTATATTGACATTGCCTTAAATTGATTCTAAGTGTTAAACCTCGAAAGCGAAAGAAAATCAGGCGAGGCTGAAGCCAAATGGGGACTTGACTGCCGCACAGCGGGCAGTGTTTTCGGCGGACAGAAAACACCCCTGTGACAACTGGTATCAGAGCGGAGAAGGTTCGTGACGAGGTCGAGACGGCCATGGACAAGACTTCAAGACAGTGGGTCAGCGTGCTTGTTCGTGGAAGGGACTGTCTTGGCTTAGAAATTCAGAAAAGGCAAGGAAGGCAGTGATGCAGAAATTTCGAGTTGAGGGTGCCAAAAATTAGTGTGGGTTTCTTACAAATCAATCAGTTGCGTGCTGGATTTGCTGTGGGAATGAAGGGCAGGAAAAGCAAATGAGAAAAAATGTTTCACTTGAGGGCAAGGACAACGTAATTCTCAAACGGGTGCTCAACTTGTGATGTCTTTGCAAATGACGAGCATGTGTTGGGATTTATTCGACGAGGGCGTCGAATTCAACTGGTTGGGGTGGTTTGTTAGACCCTTGACAAAGCTGATCGGCAAAGCGGCGCGGCAGTGGCAAGGATTTGGCATGATGGCCTTGCCATTGGCCTATGTGCGGGGAAAATAAACATGCAAGACAATGCGGGTGTATTCAATGGCAACAAACTGTTGCAAGGGCAAGTGTGACGGACTACACTTCTATTTGAGGGCTATAGTGTGACGGACTACATTAAAACATGAGTGGGCTGCGTGCAAGCAAAGGCCAATACCTTGACGAAACTAGGCGGGCTGGACGGAAGCTTGACAAGGAAAACGGGAAAGACCTCGGCGCTAAAATGGGGCAGCTTAGTTCCAAGGCAGTGGCATTGGCAATATGATGTTGCCATGACTTAGGTGAGCGGGCAGGCACCTATGGAACTTGTGGGCAAACGACTTAGCAAAGGGAATGGCATCATGGCTTGGTGACTTGATGCTAAAATCAGATTGGCATTGGCAAAGGGCAGACTTGATCAAGTAGAGGCGACTTGACATGACCAAGCGGCTGTGGCAGCGGACGTGCGCGCAGCTAAGTCATGGGTGACAAGCTGTGGCTATGGCATTGGGGCGGAGAAGTGTCAAAGGCCAAGGCTGGGCGCAATGCCTGCCTTAGGCGTGCAGCAGCTGGCCAGAAATGCGCACATGTAGCGCACATGGAGTGGTTTTCAAGTGTGCTGTGCTCATGCTATGCAGTTGGGCGGTTACAACTGCCCTTGTCCAAGAGTTGCTGATTATAGGCTAAGTCTATGCACGTTTTTAGGCATGTTCTAGCATGACATGCATGTTTTTTGATCATGGGGATCATGTCCTATCAGTTGGGGGTGTCAACTGAAAATAGAAAAACTGTTTTTGGGCTGACTACACTATATATATGTGTGTTAGCAGCCCCAAAAATGGGCTAAGTACCTAGGGAGGGAAATAGCAAAAGATATAGGCATAGGGTTGTCTATGTCAAGGCTTGAGCATGGCAAAATATGTGCCATTTCCTTGCCAAATGAGTGGGCAGCATGAGACGCCTTAGGCAGGGGCTTTTATAGGGCAGATTCGTGCAAGTGTCGACTATTTTTGTGAGTTGGTGTCTGCCAAGGGTGGCAGCACCTTGCCAAACTCGAGAATTTCCTTTGTAATTGATTTTATAAAAGGTTGGGAAAGGGTTACCGTAAATCTGCTTGTGTCCTTCTATATTTACATTGCCTTAAATTGATTCTAAGTGTTAAACCTCGAAAGCGAAAGAAAATCAGGCAAGGCTGAAGCCAAGTGGGGACTTAACTACCGCACAGCGGGCAGTGTTTTCGGCGGACAGAAAACGCCCCTGTGACAACTGGTATCAGAGTGGAGTAGGCTCGTGACGAGGTCGAGACGGCCATGGACAAGACTTCAAGACAGTGGGTCAGCGTGCTTGTTCGTGGAAGGGACTGTCTTGGCTTAGAAATTCAGAAAAGGCAAGGAAGGCAGTGATGCAGAAATTTCGAGTTGAGGGTGCCAAAAATCAGTGTGGGTTTCATTCAAATCAATCAGTTGCATGCTAGATTTGCTGTGGGAATGACGGGCAGGAAAAGCAAATGAGAAAAAATGTTGCACTTGAGGGCAAGGACAACGTAATTCTCAAACGGGTGCTGAACTTGTGATGTCTTTGCAAATGACGAGCATGTGTTGGGATTTATTCGACGAGGGCATCGAATTCAACTGGTTGGGGTGGTTTGTTAGACCCTTGACAAAGTTGATCGGCAAAGCGGCGCGGCAGTGGCAAGGATTTGGCATGATGGCCTTGCCATTGGCCTATGTGCGGGGAAAATTAACATGCAAGACAATGCGGGTGTTGTCAATGGCAACAAACTGTTGCAAGGGCAAGTATGACGGACTACACTTCTTTTTGAAGGCTATGGTGTGACGGACTACAATAAAACATGAGTGGGCTGCGTGCAAGCAAACACTTAGACCTTGACGGAACTAGGCAGGCTGGACGGAAGCTTGACAAGGCAAAACGGGAAAGACCTCGGCGCTAAAATGGGGCAGCTTAGTGCCAAGGCAGTGGCATTGGCAATATTATGTTGCCATGACTTAGGTGAGGGGGATGGCACCTAAGGAACTTGTGGGCAAACAACGTAGCA